TTTTGGGGGGGGTCTTTTTGAGACAGGGTCTCCCTGTAGCCACAGCTGGCCTGGAATTCACTATGTAGACCAGGCTGGACTTGAACTCACAGAGATCTGCCTGCCTGTGCCTCCCAAGTGCTGGGATTAAAGGCGTGCTCTACCACGTCCGGCTAGGAATAGATATTTTTTTGCAAGAATACACACAGTAGTAAGAGTGGGCTCTTTCCAGAGATTAGAACTAGATGGCTGGGAAATTGGAAAGGGAGGAAGATTTAGGGTTTTTTTTTTGCATAAATAATTTTTTGAGAATTTCATACATGCATGTAAGGTGTTTTGATCAAATCCATGCCCACTCCCTCCCCCTAACTCCTCCCATATCTAACCATCACTTTTTTCTGATAACATCATGTACTCTTTCTTCTTTGATTTATTTATTTTTACATGGCTTTTGGCTACTCATTCCCCCCTCTGAAGAGGTAACCCTAAAATCTTTTACGGATTAGTTACAAACTCCCAAATACTTTCAACATTTTTGGCCACTGGAACAGAGTATGTTGCTAAGAGGCCCAAGGACATTTTGACTTTTAGCCAAGAAACTGGCTACTTTTCTTTGGGGTCTTTTTACCCTAACTGCCTAGCCAATTCCGACCTCCTATTCTTATCACACCATCCTCTGAAGAGGTTACCCAAATTGCTGATAGGGAATCAGGATGCAGACCACTCTGCTTCTTCCATGCTGAACAGAGACACGGGGTGAGGCAACTGGAGTACCCCTTCAGTGGGTCTATCTAAAAGACTCCCAGATTGCATAACTCTTATCTCTACGGGGAAAAGTCCTTGAATCGTGAATAGGAGATGTGAAGGAGAAATAAAGGCAAGGAATGGGAGATGTGAAGGAGAAGTAAAGGCAAGAGTAATTAGCATTACAAGTTCTAGACAAGGAACTAGAAAAAAGTCAGATCAGGGCAATTTTCAAATGTTCATATGAGAGTCCACTGGAATTTCTTGACAAGGTCTTCCAAAAGCATCCCTCTATTAGGTTCCTCCTCATTTTTCTTTTGTCTTCCAAGGCTGGGTTCTAGAGTGATGGATTCAGGATTTGCTTTCAGGTATTTTGATAGCTGTTGAAGTAGTTAGAATCAGTGTCAGTTCCCTCTCAAAGGCTTCTAGATGGGGGAAGAAAACAAATGTATCTATCACTTTAGAACAATAGCTGGTTGCCTTCCTTAGCTGGAGGGCACTACAGTATTGGAGACCTAGATTACTTTTTATGCCGTGTACATCTTTTGAAGGTTGTCCTGTGCGTTCTCATCACTAGTGAAATATGACCCCGGGGACCTGTGCTTTACTGCGGTATAAGCAGAGGATGACTAAATAAACTAGTGTATATGGCATGATATTTATATGGGGGTTAAGGGAAAAGAGAGCAGAGGGTGATTTCTTTTTTAACTTTAGGTTAGTTCTCAAAGCTTTCTATTAAGTAGGCTGTTTTACACTTTTCCTTCAAATTATAATAGCAGTTTTTGGCTACATCCTGATTAGCTGATGGTTTTTGAGAGGAATTTTAAGATTTGTTTGGGGAGCTCTGTAAAGTGCTGATTGTAAGTCTCACTCACCAAGGTCAGGACAAAGACATCATTGACACACTCTTCCTTTCCAGGTGTGGGTTTTCCACCAAAAGCCAGAGTCTCTCAATCCTCTGGCCAAATATCTCAGTGCGACCACAGGCTTTGGAAATAACTACGTCAAGGCCCAAAAGGTAAATCTGTTTGTGTTGTTACTTGGAATATGCTGTGAGGCTGATGCCTTGGGCCCTGTGTTCCTGACCAGACCCAGCTGCCCAACTTCCCTGCCCCAAGTCTTCCTTTCTCTCTGCCTTCTGGTTCAGAGCTTCGCAATTCTTTCCACTTGAACCGTTCATACCTTTCTTCTCTCATCTCATTGATTTCTGTCATTCTTCAGACCTCAGCTTATCCCAACTTTCCGTGGCCCTCTAGAACATGTGCCCTGCTGTGGGCTTCCTTGTACCTGTTCTGTGTAGCACTCCTTCACCCTGTGTTCCCCTGTCCACTTGTTAGGTCTGTGAGGAGGATTGTACTCTGTTTCACATAGAGACACTCAATGAATATGCCATGAGTTAACTTCTGTCTGAATGTTCATTCTGTTTGGAACTGTTATCAAGTGTTTTGAAGAAGCAACGGATGGAATAGAGAAAAGGAATACCAAATCAATATTGTGGTTTTTGGACTCTAATCTAAAAAGAAATCAAATAGGCTTACATATATGGAATAAGAACATTTATTTTGGACTGTAAGGACATTTGTTGCAGATTTGTCATGAGTAAGCTTTATTCTGGTCTGTTTTCTTCTGCCTAGTGTACTATGAGGATGCATTGGCATAAAATGCAACCAGGTAATCTCAGGTGGTATAGGTGGCCATGACCCCTGTGTGTATGGCAGCAGCATGAGTCTCATGACCATCAACCATGCTCGCTCCTTCCATGTTCTGTTACTAAAAACAAATCTCTCCTGTTTTCTTGAAATATGTTGTATCTTGAGAAAAAGTGTTAGAACTGGTTCCCCGGCAGATAAATTTGAGTGATTCTTCTTCCTGTCTTCCTCTAGCTAGGATTCCAAAGAAAACACTGAGATGTTGAAGCTGTCATATGGTATGGATGTGAAATGTTTAATCCAGGTTTTTCCAAAACTGTTCTTGACTGCATGGGTGTTTTTAAACTCAAATTTGACATAATTCTTAACATCCCAAATAACACATTTTGGAGAACTCTGTTGTGAATTACTAAGCTCACTTTTAGGCTTTCAGAGCTTATTTGAATTTACCATTTAGTAACTTATGTGGAATGATTTGCTTATCAAGGGAAGAAAATATTTATTTCTTCAAAATAGCAGTTTTCATTAACATTCTCTGAAATGCATTGAAGAAGATGTTTTTAATCTTTGAGTCACTTAGAGAAGTCAGATTTTCTCCTCTGTTAAAAGCTGAAGACTATTGGCTCTTGCTGGGTGTTGGGGGAAGGGGAGTCATTGTCTTCAGTTGTGTCCTGTTGGTGAGCTCACCATATCCAGTGGGCCTCTACAGCCATGGGCACATGGACTACCTCACCGTGCTTCAGTGGGTCTCTACAGCCATGGGCACATGGACTACCTCACCGTGCTTCAGTGGGCCTCTACATTCATAGGCACATGGACTACCTCACTGTGCTTCAGTGGGCCTCTACAGCCATGAACACATGGACTACCCTCACCGTGCTCCAGTGGGCCTCTACAGCCATGAACACATGGACTACCCTCACCGTGCTCCAGTGGGCTTTTACATCCACACATGGACCACCCTGGCTAAACTCAGAAAGCAAAATCAAAACAAAATGACATGAAAGCAGAAAGAGATAAGAGAGGGTGGGGATGAATGGACATTTAATTATTAGCTTTTAGTTTTAAGAAGAATCTGTTTTTGAAGTTTAGGCTTTGTGTTGACTTGGGGAAAAAAAGATACTGTTTTATAGGAGCAGAAAAGTTGTTCTTATTAGTTAAAAACTCTGCAGGGAAGACAAGAATGTAAAATAATAGTGAATTAAGATAGATTCTTCAGTTTATTGCACACAGAAGTGGTTTGGAAAAAGGCAGCTTAGGCTAGCATAGTGGCTTCACAACTGTCAGGCTCCCAAGTTCCTCTTCATCACTACTCTCCCATCCCTAGGTGTGGTCCTCACTGTTCTAGTTCTAGAGAACAGTGAGAAGAGGGAAGAAAAGGAAGGTGTGCTGTTCCTTTTGAAGAGGACGTACATCTCATAGGTGGCATTGTCCTGTGGTACCCACAGCCTCCGAGGAGGCTGGGACACACTCTCTTATCTGGAAGGCACTAAGTCCAGCTGAAACCAGGGCTCCCTTACAAAAGAAGATAGATGTTAGGCAGTGAGCATCTGTTGGGAATTCAGACCCTTGATTTTCCTTTCTTCTCATTTTCTTTTACCAGTTGGTTGCTGGCTTCTTGTTTCGGGGTACGTAGGAGACTGTAGATAGCAACACTCAGCTTATCTGTCAGTCTCACTTCTTAAAGTAAACAGCTGGAGGTTCGGTGAGTGCTGGGTTTACATGAGCGTTGATGTGTCCTTAGGCCTCTTGTTTTCAGTCTCTAAGTGGCCTTTTTCCCTGACCCTCCCCTTTGCTTTCAGTGCTCTCGTGTGTAGATGTCTTCCCTTCATTCATTGGAGCTCGTTTTACTTTTCCTTGGTTGTCATCACTGTCTTCACTTGTTTTCCAGATGGACGTCGATGAAGACACTGCTGAAAAATTTTACCAAACTTTACTGGAGCTGGAGAAACGTGTGAGGATCGCCATTCAGAAGTCAGATCAGCCAAGCTGATGATGATGCTCTCGTGAGCATCCCATACCGTCTGCATAGCCTGGGGCATGCGGCTTTCCACTGTGCCAGATGATATGTGTTCATGGTGAACTATAAACTGTGATGATCTCTTTTCCTACCTTTCAGAATTATCTCCAAGGCTGTGTGTCTGTGTGTGTATGTGTTCATATGTATGCATGCATACATGTATGCACATGTGAAAAAGATCAGCAAAGAAAAGATAGCGACTAAATATCCTTCAAACCAGCTTCCTGTCAGAATTATTAGTCCTCCTATGGAGCACTGCTTAGATTGTTCTGCCACCTGGAGCCCCGTAGACTCCGTGTGGTACGGCACAGACTTGAGTGACCGGCACACAGGGACGGCCGGAACCTCTTTTTTTGGCCTTCCTAACAAGCAGGGGTACTTCCACTCTCCAAGTAGCAGTTTTAACTTTCATTTTCTTTTTTCTTTTCTTTTCGATCATTTTTTCTTACCTCTTTCTTTCCCTATATGCTGCTCCTGATAACCTGAAAAGATTGTCAGAATCCAAACAGTCCCAGCATTGCTGCCTACGCAGTTAATTTAAGGAGCAAAATATGAGTGTGTTTGGGTCACTTGCATTGTTTCTGCTTTTTAAAAGCATTTTTTAAAAATCAGTATTGAGATAACAAAGCTACCACTGAGACTGATCTTTAATATCATTTGATGATATATTCATTATGAATGACTTACTTTTCATTATCATATTTTAATAGAATTTAACTTGCAACAAAACATTATCCACTCAAGTTAAGTTTCAATGAAATCTTCTAATTGAGAAGCTAACAGGGCTATCTGCTGGTATCAGGTGCATGGTTGCAGTGGAAGAAAATGGTTGATTCTGTGTGTCAGATGACCAAGCGAAACTTTTAAGAGAAAAGAGCCATAACGGAACCTCTTTTGGTATGAAAACAAGATGCTAAAATAACGAGATATTTTTAATCATCCAAGTATAGCCAACACATCATCTGGAATATAATAAAGTCAGTAAAAATTTGAATAAGTAAAAGTGAAAAATAATACATCATTTCCTTGCAGCTTGTAGCATAAAAATGTTCTGATTTTGAGTTTCTCTCATTTTGTTGTCCAAGATTTTTGTGTAAAGATAAATGTTCTATAGTGAAAGTGAGGCTGTACCCCATGGGACCCAGTCTGCTGTCTTTGGGAAGAAGTCCTGGCCATTTCTCACTCTTCTACCAACTCACACAGCCCATTTGGAGAAATCACCCTGTCCACTGAACGCACATCCCTAATGTGAAGCAGGCACCTCTGCCTCCTCTACTCACGGGTTTGCAGTGAGGACCGGATGCTGTGTCTGTGAGAACGTTCCATGGTTTTAGAGAGTGATGATGCTCCTTGGAGATCAGCAAAGCAGCCTCCCATGGTTCAGGTGCTGCTCTGACTAGCCATGGGCCCAGCTGATGGGTAGTTGGTTCTGTTTCTCAGGCTTTACCAGGAGACAGCATGGAGTTGTGTGCAATGGCATGTCTCCATGGGCTGGAGCTGGGTAGATGGACTGAACTTGCCTTTGGAGAGTGGCATAGCTTGGGTTTTGGTTCTTTGTGAGTTTGGAAGAATTTGTCCTTTTTCTGGGTTAGTTTATGAACGCAAAGTCTTATCTTTCCAGTGGCTACAGGATCCGTAATGACTCCCCCGTCTCATTCTTGATACTGGTGTCTTAAGTGCTGTCAGTAGTGCTAGGAGTTTTTCCATTTTGTTGACATTTTCCAAGAACCAAATTTCTGCTTCATTGATTATTTTTTTCCTCAGTTGTTTATTTACTGTTCATTTCACAGATTTTCAACCCTGATTGTTCTTGTTTTCTTCTTTCTGCTTGCTTTGGGTTTATTTTACTCATCTTTTCCCAGTTTCTTGAGGTGAAAACTTTTAAGTTCCTGATTTGAAATTTTTCATTGTTATTATATGCTTTTAATTCTGTTTCCCTCTGAGCGCGGCTTAGCTGCATCTCACATGTTCTGACATGTCCACATTTTTGTCCTAGGTAATTTTATTAATTTCTCTTGAGGTTTTTCCATGACTTATTAAAAGTTTTATTTAATGTCCACAGTTTTCAGAGATAAAAAAATAGTTACTGGTTTCTAGTTGTATTTGTTGTGGTTTTCTAGCTTAATGCTGATAGGGTCAGAGGATACATTGCGTTCTATTTCTGTGTTTTCAGTTTGTTGAGGTTTGTATTAGGATGCAGGATCTGGTCTGCCTTGGTGCTTTATGGAGTTTCCTCCAGAGCATGCCTGCTGTTGTTTCCTCTTCAGAACTCTCAGGGATTTGCTTTCTTTGTGTTTTGTGCAGTGTTCACTGTTTTCCAGGAAGGTGTTCTGCAGCGGCTGCACTGAAGGCATTGAGAACAGTATTTCTAATCCATCTTCACTTCTGTCCGGATTTTACTCTAGCTCTCTTCCGTACTCAGTCCATTTTTCTTGCTTTATGTCCATTTCTGTTTTTAGTTTGAAATTTTTTAATGTTTTCCAGATGCCTACTTGAGATAGTGAATTCAGGCTTATGGAGTTTGTCTCTTCTCCCTTGCCTGCTTCCTTGGGCAGGAGTGGGGCGTGTAGACGTTACCAGCTGAAGCATTGTTTTCTCATTTCATTTTCTTCACTCTCAGTGAGGTCTTTTCTAGTCACTGAATCTAAAATCTCCTCCTCTCAGGTTTTATCATCTTCATCTACCTTAAACATTCATTTGAAGAGCCCAGCGTGGTGGCGCACGCCTTTGATCCCAGCACTCTGGAGGCAGAGGCAGGTGGATCTCTGAGATCGAGGCCAGCCTGGTCTACACAGAGAGTTCTAGGCCAGCTGGGGCTACAGGGAGACCCTGTCTCAAAAAGAAAAAGGAAAAAAAAGAAAAAGAAAGAAAAAAACGGGGGTAAAGCTGTGATAAAGGTAAATCTTTTCTTTTTTCAAAATTTTATTTTATTGTTTTCATTTTATGTGTATGAGTGTATTGTCTACATGCATGTGAGTTCACCTGTGGCATGCAGTGCCGCAGAGGTCAGAAGAGGGCTTCGGATTCCCCTGGAACTGGAGTTAAGGACAGTTTGTAGCTATCATGTGGGTGCTGGTAATTGAACCCGGGTCCTCTGCAAGAGCAGTCAGTGCTCTTAACCGCTGAGCCATCTCTCCAGCCCCAAAGCTAAATCTTTTCATAGCACTGAAGACTTTCTCTTTGTACCTAGTGCTTCTTGGTGCATATCTGGATGGGGACTGCTAGTTCTCTCCTTTCCCAGCACTCTCCAAGCTCACTCAGTACACCTTCCCATCTCTCAGGAGGATTCTAGCTGCATTTGAATCTCTGCCACTTTCAGAGACTCATACTAGTGCTGAATTGTTTTTGTTTTCCTTGTATTGATCAATAGTGGGTGTTTTAAAAATTATCTGTTAAATGCATTTCTTTGTATCAAATTGTGTTTATGTATCTTACCATTTCCTGTTTGATTTTCAACCTTTGGTTGTCACAAATATCTAATGAAGATTGAAACTCTTGTTTAAAATGAAACATTTATTTCTCTACAATTTGCATTTTACTTATTTGTTTATCATCCTCAGCATACCAAAGTGTGAAGTCCAAGGCTGTGTACTGCTGTGCTTATTTTTCTGTTTCTAGTGTTAAATCACCGACTGGCATATACTGGGCTCTTGATAAATACATAAACAACTGATTAAACAAGTGTTTATTTGAAGAAACGTATTATGCTCAAGTTTTAAGCCTCAGTGGGTTTTTATTATACCAAAACAAAATACCTACTACACGCTCAAGAGTTATGCACAGCACAAATTGGACTCCATGGGTTTTAAAATAAGGACACAAAGTTGGATGGGGGCGGGGCTGGATCTGGGAAGAATTAGGGAAGGGAGGGTAAATATGATCAAAATAAATTGTATGAAATTCTCAAAGAACTAATTTTTAAAAGATGATAAAAAACCAGAAAATGACCTCAATTTCTCTTAACCTGGAATGATATTCAGAACAACATAGGTTTTACTGAGGCTCTGTCTACTATTGCTGTCAAGTTAGAACACTGTGCTGTACTAATAAATACAGTTCCTTCTCCTGGAAAACAACAAATATTAAAAACAGCTGAGGGTAAGAAGCCACATTCCTGAGAGTGAAGCTTCACAGAATTCATGTTTCTCATCTGGAATCTAGACACCTGAACTGATCTCACAAGTCTGAGTTCCCTTTTCTCTTTTCCCTCCCTTTCCCTCCTCTTTCTCAACTGTAACACTGGTAAGGAGCCATTAAAAATGGACACAGTAAACCAATGGATTAAAGAGGCCTCATCTCGCCTTCACTGGAGTTTTTCCTTGCTGTCTAATTTAGCTTCTTTCTAATAGGAATTCTAGAAGATTTTTTAGGGGTTAGTAGTAGAAAAGACTATAGATTCTGGATGTTTAAAAAAATGAACTTTTTTGTTGTTGGTGGTGACTCATTAAAAGGTTCAAATATAGGTAGAATCATAGATACCACTAAACATAGGCTCTCCATTGGTGTCTTAGGCCAAGAAGTAGCTCTACCCCACTCTGGTGTGACAGCCAGAATCAAGTTTCATTCTCTGTATTTATTATTACAAAGTGATCTCCAACCTAAAGCTATCATTTCATATTCTAGCATTTTTTTAGGGTGGGGGAGGGTGTATATTCACATATTTCTCATTTCTGGAACTTTAAGAAAGGAAAAATGATTTCTTGTTTTTAATCTATGAGTAAGAATTTATTACAATTTAGAACAGTATAAAAAAATAATCTACCACCAGTGATTTTTGAGCCAGCCTGGATATACGGGTGTTGGAAATAGATGTGGCTGATGCAGGAAGGCGTGTTTGATATCAAGGCATCCCTTCTTTGTCCTCTGCCATAAACTGGAGACAAGTTCACTCCCCAAAAGAGACAAAGAGAAATTCTCTGTTAAGGGGCTGAGGTTAACTCATGTTACTCTTCACCATTTATGATTTGGCTCAGGGATATGAAGAAATTAATTTTAGATTTTGGTGTTCTGAATAGAAATAGGTGAGAAAATAGGAAAAAAAAGTCTTCAACAATAACAAAACTACCAATAGACAGAACTAGCAGATTATTATTGAGAGGATGGATCAACTGCTGTCCAGGAATGGTGTTGTCAAGTTATGCTTCTGGGTATCCAGAGACAATAATAGCTACATCAACAAAACAAAACTCAAACTGAAAACATTGGTGTTATTGAAAGCACATACCAAGGCATTGGCAAAATGACTGTCACTGACAACTGTCCCATCCATAATACATTCTAACAGCTTAAATGACTTCCCAAGCTATCCTGAACTCTAACCTCAGTTCAGTCCGTTGTTTGCAGCATCTTGAAAGCGATTTCTTTAGTTGATCAGTGCCAGATCTCTACAGAGGCAAGCAATGAAGTCTTTGCTCCCTGGAAGGATGGAAGGGAGGTAGATGGATGAAGGGCTGACCTTTAACTCAAGCCTTGCTGAAGCTCATGGTTTTGCTCTGGCTGTTTTCAGGTTATGTTGGGATCTAAATCTCTAAAACCAACCCCCTTTTCACATTCTGAAGGGGGAAGCTCTTCACTGGATAGCCACATGTTGGAGTTGCCACTCAGTTCTGAGCCCAGGACATTTCATACTGAGACTGGGTTGGACCCAGGGTGGGATTATTCTTTTTTCTAGGGTTAGATCTGGCCAACATTGAACTCTTGTCCTTAAAGGTGTAGGAGTGAGATAATGGTAGAGGTTTCATTTCTCTTCAATCATGAGCATTCCTGAATTAGCCAAGAAGTCTGAATTTCAAACCACCGAACAGATTGTAAGTGATTCATTCTAAGTAATCTTGGACCTGTTCTCAAAATCTTGAGGGGAAAGTTGGAGCCTTCTTTGTTGTAGTTGGTAGAATTAAAAATGTCCCCCACTTTGTTTGCCCAGCATTACTCATGATTGTATGTCGCCTGGCACAGCTGACCTCAAGATGGAGAGGGTCTTGGGTGCGTAGTCACATAAGCCTGTGGCAGTAACAGTGGCAGCAGCCAAGCTGGAGAGGTTCAGAGCTGCACAGCAGATGCTCCTGGGAAGGAAAGAACCTATCAGACAGGGTGCCAGGAGATGAAAGTGGGCTCTAAAGGCTGAGGTTGGTCCTTAGCAAACAGGAAGGGATTGGGGACCTCATGTAGGAAACTGAATTTGCCAAGAACCTGAATGAACTTGAAAACAGAATACACCCAGAATCTCCTTGACTATTCCTTCATGTTAGCACAGTGAGACCCTGAGCAGAGATTTTAGCCCAGACTAGGAACCCGAGTCCTACTGGCGTGGGATTTCTGACCTCAAGAATGGAAAGCAGATAGCTCTGTATCTATGACAATTTGTCATAGATAGAAACAAAAGACTTGTATTCCTTATGGAATAAATTCCATATGGACTATTGCTGAATAAATATTATTACAAAAGATGAAAGCATTCTCAGCAATAAATTATGTGAAATAAGATACAAATCAAAATATACTCAGTGAACTTAAAATATATGTGCTACATATGAGAGCCAATTGAGTAATCTAATATTTAAAGAATGAATACAACTCAATCATAAATCTTAGATGCTTAATCTCACCCACAATAAAATGAGGTGAGTTAATCCCCTTTTCAATTATGTTAGCAAATGCCAAAAGGTTTTGCCTTCCTGCGAGAAAACAGACACTTTGTCATTGTCTGTGATCTAAGTTGTGTAAGCTTGAAGAATAATTTGACAGTATCTACCACAACTTAAAGTGCTCATGACTTTAGCAACTCAAATTTTCTAAATTTATCCTAAAGACACAGCTCATAAATAATGTGCAAGGTGTTAGGACTGCTGTTACTTATCCCAAACTCTTTGTGCTGAATATGCTTCAGAAATTAAAATTGCTTGGATTTTAGAAAGATAAGTTGGTACATACAACACAGTATGTTTTGTAACAACTCCAGTGGGAGTTGGGATAACAACCTATAATCAAAGGCAGTTGTATGTCAGCGAAAAAGATTCATGAATTCACATTAGGTAGTATAAATAGAGACTATAAATAGCTTTACATCAGCTCAGCTAGAGTTTAGCTGCCAAATGAATATGCCAAACGTTTGAAAAGACTTTCAGTCTTCTAAACTGTTTGGATTTTGGAATTGCAGATAAGGGATTTCAGACCTGTATGAAAACATTCACTGCTGCATTTTCCCCCAACAACAGCAAAAGAGTACAAAGAACTTGTGTGTGTTTGTCCAGCCTTTAGAGCACTGGATAAAGAATGATGTCACACCCATAAAAAATATTTAAAGTAATGATAGTATTAAAAAGAGTAAAAAAATTTTTAAAGGATGTAGTAGCCTATCGACTAGTTTTCACGGTGCTGGAAGGCGCTATGCTACCACAAGACAAAATTCTCATCCAGCGGTGAACCTTGTGAGCTACAATAGCAACTGACCTGACAAGGTATATCCTCTAGGGCAATACTGGCCAGGATTTATGGAAGTAACTCACCACTTTCTGACTGGATTCACAAGATGGAGCCCATCACTGGCCCTGTTATCAGAGCCAAGTACCTGAGGGTAGTCAGACCACAGACCGCAGGGAAGAACCTAGTACTATTATTCTGCTAAAAATGATATCGACCAGCTTCTATTGACTTATTGTATGAAATTCTCAAAGAATTAATAAAAACGTTATTATTAAAAAGAATGAAGCAAGTTTATATGGATTGTGGATTAAATGAATAAAACCAGATACTGTGAAATGTGTGCTTGTATTTTCATGTGTGTTATATACACACACACATTCTTACATATACACAGAATCTGGAAAAGCTTCATACAAAACCTGGGTTTTGGGTCAGTGCCAGGGGTACCCAAACCAAGACCGAGAAAAGTGCTGAATAGGTGCCCTCCGGCATTCTTCCTGTAGTGAATCTGATGTCCGCTCATGCATTTGTTTGTATTTTCAGTTGGCATGCAT